CCAGAGGGCAGAGGGGACCCCCCCCCAGCCAATACAATAGAGAGGGTTTATTGCTTCTCCAGGATACAGCACAGCACAGACGTAAGGACTACGTCTAGACTGGCACGATTTTCCGGAAATACTTTTAACGGAAAAGTTTTCCGTTAAAAGCATTTTCGGAACAGAGCATCTAGATTGGCACGGATGCTTTTCCGCAAAAGCACTTTTTGCAGAAAAGCGTCAGTGCTAATCTAGACGCGCTTTTCCGCAAAAAAGCCCCGATCGCCATTTTCGCGATCGGGGCTTTTTTGAGGAAAACAAAGCTGAGCTGTCTACACTGGCCCTTTTGCGGAAAAGCTTTGTGCAAAAGGGACTTTTGCCTGAACGGGAGCAGCATCGTATTTCTGCAAAAAGCACTGATTTCTTCCAGTAGGAAGCCAGTGCTTTTGCGGAAATTCAAGCGGCCAGTGTAGACAGCTGGCAAGTTTTTCCGGAAAAGCGGCTGATTTTCTGGAAAAATTGGCCAGTCTAGACACAGCCAAGGAGTCAGGGGCTGGCAGCTCTAGACCCCTTGGGGTGGGGGTCCATAGGCCCCTCCATTGCCAGCACTCTGCATAGTCTGTTCTCTTCATGGCTTTCCAGCCAGTTTCCAAGCCCTGCACCCCATCCAGGTGTCCATCTCCCCCTCCCTTCCTTTGTCTCTCCCACCAGAAGAGCCTTGTTATCTGCTCAGGCTGGGATTAGGTGTCTGGGCTAATCCACATGTGGCTGAGTCAGTGTGAATCACACATCACAGTGTGGGGCAACCCCAGGTTACAGAGGAGACAGCCCCCCCCAACTACGTCACAGCCCACAGCTTGAATACTGCTGGTTGCCTCATCTCAAAAGAGATTTCTTGACATTGGAAAAAGTTCAGAAAAGGGCAACAAAAATGAGGAGGGGTTTGGAACAGGTCCCATATGCAGAGACATTAAAAAGACTGGGGCTTTTCAGCTTGGAAAAGAAGAGACTAAGGAAGGATAGGGTAGAAGTCTCTACAATCATGACAGGTCTGGAGAAAGTGAATAAGGAAAAGCTATTGATTTGTTCCCATCACATAAGAATGAGGGGGTCACCAAATGAAATGAACAGGCAGCAGCTTTAAAACAAACAAAAGGACGTTTTTCTTCACGCAGCGCACAGTCAACTTGTGGAACTCCTTGCCAGAGGAGGTTGTAAAGACCAGGGCTTTAGCAGGGTTCAAAAAAAGAGCTAGATAAATTCATGGAGGACAAGTCCATCATGGCTATTAGCCAGGATGGGTGGGAATGGTGTCCCATAGCCTCTGTTTGTCAGAGGCTGGGAATGGGTGACAGGGGAGGGATCATATGATGGTTCCCTGTTCTGTTCACTCCCTCTGGGTCTCCTGGCATTGGCTGCTGTCGGCAGACAGGACTCTGGGCTGGACGGACCTTTGGTCTGACCCAGGCTGGCTGTTCTGATGTTCACCCCCCTGTGACACTTGGGCCATACATATGTACAGACCCGCTGACGGGCGGAAAGGGGATACAGGGGGCAATTTCCCCGGGGTCTGGGGATACAAAAGGGCCTGGTGCTCCCGGCTGCCACTGCCACTACTGTGGGAGCAGCGGTGGCTGGAGCCTGGGCCCATTAAATTGCGGCCAGAGCGCTAGGCAGCTGTGAGGGCTAACAGTGAGGGTGGGGGCACAGAGCAGCATGGTCCTGAGAGCTGGCTGCCCTAGCTCCACCCCTTCTGCCCGAGGCCCCGCCCCTTCCAGGAGCACAGAGTCATACCCCTCCCACCTTGCCCAGGGGCCCATCACAAGTGTTGGCCCCCTGCGTATGTATCAAATGGATCTGAACCAAATCCCAGCGCTCCTGGATTTTGGTATTTAAATCTGTCATTGTTGCTCACTTTGTCTGCCTTAGCCAAACCCCATCACCACAGGAGCTCACAAACGTTAATTCACTGAGCCTTTGCCCCCCGCCCCCACAGGAGGTAGCGACGGGTGACTATCCCCACTATATACAAGGCTGCTCAAGCACAGTGAGGGTAAGTGACTTGCCCAAGGTCGCACAGGAGACCTGTGGCAGAGCAGGGACTTGACCTTGGATCTTGTAAGGGCCACGTTCTCCCGGAAAGCGCTGTCCCAGCCTTTGGACATAAGCTATTCTTTCCTTTCTGTAGGACACCGGAGGATGCCAGACACCCTGTCTTGCATCAGGCGTGACGGCTACTGTAAGGCAAAATGCACGGCGATCGCTGACCGCGTTGAAGAGGAGCTCGGGACCTGCAGGAATGGAAGGCAGAGGTGCTGCCGCCCGAAGCGCCTGGTAAGGCTGCTGTGACTGTTTTTCTCGGCTCTGGGCCTCGGCTGATTCCACCAGGCAGAATCGGGGCTGCCCGTCTGGGCGGGACACGTTCCTGGAAGTTTCTCCGCAGGGTACAATCTTTCATTCAAGGTTCGTCTTTCGCTCCTGGAGACTGCGGGCCAAGCCTGAAGAGCTGGCGGCTGCGGGACAGCCTCTCAGCTGGTCCAAAGCGGCACCAGTGGACCCGGGCCAGTATCCGTCCGTCGAGGCTCTGACTCTGTCGCCTGTAGGAGCACAGGAATGATCAGCGACCCAAAGGGACTTCCCTGTGCCCAGGCAGGAATGTGGGTATCAGCAAGGTCACAGAATCCTAGGAAGAGACCTCAGGAGGCATCGAGTCCAGCCCCCTGGCCCAAAGCAGGACCAACCCCGACTCAATCATCCCAGCCAGGGCTTTGTCCAGCCGGGACTCAAACACCTCTAGGGACGGAGATTCCACCCCCTCCCTAGGGAACCCAGCCCCGGGCTTCCCCACCATCCTAGGGAAATAGTTTTTCCTAATCTCCAACCTAGACCTCCCCCACTGCAACTTGAGCCCATCGCTCCTCATTCTGCCACCTGCCCCACTGAGACCAGCCTCTCTCCAGCCTCTTTGGACCCCCCTGCAGGGAGTTGCAGGCTGCTCTCAAATCCCCCCTCGCTCTTCTCTTCTGCAGACTAAACAAACCCAAACCCCTCAGACTCTCCTCATAGGTCATGTGCTCCAGCCCCGAATCATTTTGGTTGCCCCCCGCTGGACCCTCCCCAATGTGTCCACATCCTTCCTGTAACCGGGGCCCTAGAATTGGACGCAACACACCCGATGTGGCCCCACCAGGTCTATCTCCCGACACCTCTTGCATGATCAGCTCCAGTTCAAATCCTCACCACAGAATCACAGCGCCCATGGGTGGGAACCAGATTGATGCTACAAGGTAGTGGCACTTTGAGAAATTTCCAGTTCCCTCTTCCTTCCCATTCAGATGCCACTTCCTCAGCTGCTGTAAATCAGCCCAGCTCCATTGACGTCCATGGAACAACACTCCTTGTTGGGTACACGAGGCCCCCTTCCAACGCAACGGGTTTTAGTCCAGCCTCATGCAAGGTGACGTATCTAACCGCAAACAAACCAGGCCCGACAGGGGACGGGGTGCTGGAAAGCAGTGATCCTAAAGGCTTTGGAGCAGAGCAGACAAACAGTTCAATGTCAGCTCCACATGGCAAAGGGGTGATGCTGTCCTCGAACGTACCAAGCGGGAAGCAGCGGGTAAGGGCAGGGAGGTTGTGTTACTTCTGTATCGATGAAACTGACACTGGAATATGGTGTCCCCTAGAGCTGGGCTCCACAATTAAATGTGCGCAGGGGCTGAATGAGCCCTCCTCTGACATCTAGTGGCGAACAGGTGGAAAGACAGCAGGAGCAGACGGTATTTGCATAGACACACCCACACTGCCCAGATTTTCAGCAGCTGGTTTGCCAAAGTGGCCGATCTTGGTTGGCTTGAGGTTATAATTCACTTTAGTATGTAGGTAACAAAACTGTCATTATCCTCCTTCTTTGAGTAAAGGACAGCAGAACCAGGATGCTATGTTAGGGTGTCACCCTAACCTGAATCTCACTTGCTAAGCCAGGACTACAGCTGCTAAATCTTTCTGCCCATTACAGGGGATGGAGGTAAGTGTTCTTATGCTGGGGTATGACTGGTGCTGAAAAAGTCCTAGATACCATTTGACTTCTTTTGTCTTAAAGTTTCAAGAGAGAGATGATTAGGGCCCACTGAGAGTCCTTCTTTCTGTTCAGTGCTTATTACATGTGAAATCACAGGCCCAGCGATTCAAGAAAGATGTGGAGATAGTGGAGAAGTTCCAAAGAAGAGCAACAAAAATGATGAAAGGTCTAGAGAACATGAGCTACGAGGGACGACTGAAAGAACTGGGCTTGTTTAGTCTGTTAAAGGGAAGACTGAGATGGGACATGAGAGCAGTTTTCAGGTATCTACAAGGGTGTTACAAGGAGGAGGAAGAAAAATTGTTCTCCTTGGCCTCTGAGGATAGGACAAGAAACAATGGGCTTAAAGACGGTTTAGGTTGGACATTAGGAAACACTTCCTACCTGTCAGGGTGGTGAAACACTGGAATAAGTTGCCTGGGGGGGGTTGTGGAATCTCCATCCCTGGAGAGATTTCAGAGCAGGTTGGACAGACACCTGTCAGGGATGATCTAGAAGGTGCTTGGCCCTGTTGTGAGGGCAGGGACTGGACTTGATGACCTCTCGAGGTCTCTCCCCACTTGAGGGTTTTGTGATTCTAGAGACTAAGCCTTAGATCGGCTCTGGGGACGGCACCGGAGTGAATACCACACCGAGGCTGCAGTAGCAGTGAAATGCTCCGTGAAATCACTCGGAACCGGGCTAAGTGGCGGAACCTCAGAACCCGGCTTTGAGGGGTTAGTGGGGGGCGGAGGGAGCAAGCAGCAACAAGGACATCGCAGCAGCAGAGCGGAGGGGGAGGGGATTTTGTTTTTCTAAACCCCCCCCCCCCGAGGTGGGAAACTGAGGCAAAGGACACTGCCCAGTGTACTATGGGGTGGGTGTTTACTTAGGGTTTGACATGCTTTTGCCTCATCCATGCCGCAGTGCCCTGGGGTGACAGAGTACTGGGGGGGGGGTCCAACTTGGTTCTGTCTGGTATTGTTAAGAGGGACCCCTCGATATTCAACCCTGCCGGTGTGGCTCTCAGCAACGCTTGGCAGTGGGGGTACCGCCAGG